TTTGTGTTTTCTATTCAGATATTTGTGTGACAACTAATTAATAAAGGAAATGAATTAATCATATGATGAAAGACAGTGATTGGAGTCAAGAAACTTTGTTAAACAACTTTCAGACTAAATAACTTTTATAATAGTTTATAATAAATCGATTTGATTTCCATATATGAGAAAGATTTTGAAAATATTTCCAATTATTATATATTTCTTATTAAAAATTAATGTAAAACAAAATTTTAAATTAACAATAACTTTAATTGCAATAAAACACTTATGATCTAAATCATGATTATCACGTGAATTGCACACAATTTATAGCTCAAAAGTTAATAGTCTTTTAAAAACAAATAATATTATTTTCATTTCATAGAAACCATTCTATCATAATATAAATATAAAACAATACCATATATAATATTAATGAAAATGAATTTATTTAAAATATAATGTTCTAGAAGTTCTGTAATAAAAACAAACTAAACATGATATAAATTCCAACCTATTTATTATTCATAAGTACAATACGATATTCTGCTCATATGATTGAGAAAATTAATGCCAATAATATTATTATAAATTATTTCCGTTACTTATTATACGCTATAATCAATTAATTGCAATTGAATTTGTCGTCCAAAACATTTGAGCGGAAGTTTATAGACGTCTGAAATGTTCTCATTTGCATCTCTGCTCTCATTTCTGTTATTCATTTCAATTCTCATTTTCATTTCATATTGAAGTTTGAAAACGAAAAATAAGTTTATGTTTTACTACATTATATTATTAATGCTTTCAAGAAGTAATTGTAGTAAATATTTGTGATTCTTATTACATTTACTATTATTTTGTTTATTTGTATATAAAGTATACAAATTCCAGTTATAGACATTTAATTTATTCTGTATACTGTATATAGTATTATATAAATTCCATAATATATAAGATATTTTTACCAAATTTGGTTTCAGATATTTATAAAAATACATAATTAATACAATTTCAAATACAATCGTCGATACGTGATATGAGAATAGTATAGATTCAATGGTCGTTGACTTTAAACCTTCAAATAAAATATTTAGTGAAATGCGGTCACAATTTCTTTAAAGAGAGACAATTATTGGCGATTTCAATGCCAAACAAACAACTATTTTATGAAATTCATTCATTTACACACATATGATGTGAATTTCATTTATTCATTTGTTTTGCATCAGAAATAACCGTAACTTAACATGTGTTTTACAGATTCACAAATTATCGTACCTTTCGTACGATTAAGCATTTGATCCGACAATCAATGTGTGTCTATCTATCACTGTTTCTCACAATTAAATTGCTGTGAATATATCTGGCGCCAGACATACGCCTGACACCGGTATTCAAGCCAAACATCTGGTTCTCACCTTTGATTACAGTGTTTGCAAATTGGGTTTTCGCCTCAATTACTCGTAATAATCAAAAATTTAAATAAAATTAGTTTTTTTCTAATTTAAAAAATAATTTCTTTTGCAAATAATAATGAATTTTCAACGTTTCCTGAATAGTGTATGCATTGTATATATTGAGTGAAATTGTATTGACAATTATATGACATCGTTTGAAATTCAATACGTTTGATGTGTTGAGAGTCTTGTGATGCGAAAGAAAAATCAAAATAAATTTTTAAAATCAAAATAATTTCATTTATGATTTGAATTTCAATGTTTACTGATTTTTAAATACTGTGTAAACAAAATAAATGAGCACTTATTTTCATAATGCAATACAAACTGAACGCCCACTTAAATAACTACATGTTTGTTAATATTTTGTAATTAAGCAAATTAAACATTCAAAGCACTTAATTGTTAGATTCTTTGACATCATTAACTAATTCCTCGACAATTGTACAATTTTATTGACTAGATTTACACACAAAACACATGAAACTGTCAATATATCCGAGTTTTTATTGTAAACCACATAAAAACTTATGTTTCTTAACTCATCTTCACATCTACTGAACTTGAAATTTGTTTTTTAATCAAAACTTTTGTTTATCAACTGTCTGTACAAAAAATTGTTATTTTCTTTTATCACTTAATTTAATTTTATTTGTCGTTTTTGGTAATTCTTGTATTAAATTTTTTACAAAAATATTTTGACAAATGATTTATCAAAAATGTTTTGCTACAAAGTATTTTTGAAAAATTTTTTACGATATACTGTATAATAATCACTCAATTATATGGTTTATTAAGGAGGAAGAAAAAGATGGGTATATTTTATGCGGTGATTATGAAATATTACCGATTGTTTGCCATATTTTGTATTGACATTAGAGTCGATTGAATGTATAACAAGACATGCAATGAGAATATGTCGAGTGTTCACAAACGGCCACCAAATTGTCATTTTGTTATTGATCTCAATATTATCGGATGCGTAACAATTTAACAGAGAGAGAGAGAGAGAGAATTGAGACACAAATGAGTTATAGAGTTAATACATGAATTCAAGTGCAGTATAACTAATGCTAATGTGGGCCATATATGCTGTCACTGAAGCGAGTCTTGTCATCAAATCAATGGCACATATAATGTCTAAAGAGTGGAAAATGACGGTATAAATAGTCCACACAATTCTCATTCAAATTCACAACTTATACCAAAAGCCCTGCAAAGTGTTTGTCTCTCTCTTGTGTCTGAATCGGTTGCAGTGATTGTCACTAAATATACGTTCGTCTCAATACATACTCTACGGTAAGAAGTTTTGTGCGGTATTTATATCTAATCTATCGGTTTGTTTTATCGCAAGAATATTCACGCAAACTATTTTGTTTGTAAGATCTGTTAAGATTGATCAATATTTTTGCCACAATTTGAATGACAAATTGATATTTAAAAAAAAAAGTTTTTAAAATTTTCACAATTGATGTGTTTTAAGTGAGAAGATATCAACTGAAGAGATCATGGAATTGATTGCGAGTAAAATAATCCGTTATCTGGCAGTGATTGCTGTGGCGCTGATGGCTGGCAAGACATTTGCCCGAAGCGACACCGCGTCCACCAAACCTACCACTTATAGCCCCTACAGTTCACTCATGTATTCGCCGTACTCTTCGATGATGTCGTCCATGTATTCGCCGTACTCGCCATCGATGGCCGCCTCAATGGTAATGCCCTATTACTCCAGCGCTTACCCGTACGCCCCGTCGGCCGCCGCCGCCACGGGTTACGGCCACTCATCCAGTTATCATCCCTCACAATACATGATGGCCGCCAGTTATCCGCACTCGGCGTACGTCCCGATGCCGTACGGTTACGGAGGCTACAGCTCAGGCGCAGGCGGTTACGGCTCCGGTGGTTATGGATCCGCTTATTCGCCAGTTTCTAGTTATTACGGATAATCGTTTTGCATCTGCTTTGACATTCAATTTGTTTCTCAAACAAAACCCATAACTTATTACTTATAATCTTAAGTTAATTTAAATACAATATAATCGACAATCAATTACACCAAAAATGGGACTCAATTCGCGACTTATGGCTCATTATTTACCCGTAATTTCATTCAAAATCAATAATACATTTCTTCAAACAAAATATACGACAGAATATTACTCTATTTATTAGAAGCCTATATATTGTGTATGACTTCACTTATACTGAAAATATAGCAATTAATTGTAATAATTAATTCACTTTTCATTCTGTCTTTTCAATGAGTTTATATTTGTTATAAACTTTTCTTCTCATAAGATCTTAAAGTCTAAATAATTTTACTTTTCATATATTTTTCTTAATTTATTAATATTTTTATACAATTTTTAAAAATAATTATTATTAATTATTATATAAAACTTTTTGATATTCATATTCCTATGTATTGTATCTGTGAAACCAAAGTATGGAAAAGAAATAAAATTTAAAGATATAAACAATTATTGTTTTCATTATGGACTTAATATTTT